GGCAGGCAGATAGACAGACAGACAGAGGCTGGTAGTAGCCGAGGCAGAGAGCTTGAGGGTTTGAATGAGGCGGGACTTCGCGACAAAATTCATTTGTTTCTCTTATCTGGTTAAACGTGAATACAGAAACGAAATTCAGAAGTAAGAAATTTAATATGAATGGAATCAAAATTGACGTGTTGTCTGGAATAAGCAATAAGTTCAAAGACTGAACAAAGATTGGATGTGAAAAGTACATGACGTGCTTATATAATGTAACAATATAATATGTTCTCGACTGTCTAGCAAAGATCTCCAGAGACCTAAACAAATATATGGCGTTATTATTCATTGCTTGAACTGCTTACCAGCAGTCAGAAAGCGAAAGTGTTATGAAAGATTTTCTTGTTTTTGCTATTTGCAGTAAGATTTTTTTTTCTGTTTTAAAAGAGGAACCATGAAATGGAAAGATCTCATTTCAATTCTGATATCATTTAATGCTGATTGTTTCCTCTCAGTTTGGCTGAACATTTTTTTTTGTCATTGAGGATCTGCTTTCATCAGAATGGTTATTATCCCAACCATATATGGTAAGGGAGAAGATTAATCTTGGCTAGTGTAAGTGATATGCATGTTAGAGGTGTAAAAGAATTGATAAAAATTGCCGAAATGGAGGGGGAAAAATGCCTGTTTCTTCAATTTCATTATTTTGATGAGCGTCTGATTTCAACGCGATGCCTCTCAATTTGGCTGGACCAGACTGAATCAGGTGTATTAAACTGGCAGTATGCAGAGTTTTTTTTACTAAAAGTACTTGTAGATATGTTCAGAAACTGGGTTAATAATAAACTTTCTGGAAGGGTCTTCAGTTACACTGCCTTATAAGATTCTGATCAAAGCGGTGTGAGCCAAGCGGGAGGGTGTTCACTATGTGTGCTGATGAGCTTTGCTTCATATCAGGTCACTGTACTTATTATATCACTTGTGTTGTCGTTTTTCTAACGGTGCTATTGTTACATGTTCTTTGTGACAAAGTGATTTCCAGGGCAGGTTAGATTATATTTGTTTGGTGATAGTGTTGATGGTTAGGGGGAAGATTGGGTAGGAGTAATAGTAGTAGTAGTAACAGAACTGATGCCCTTTCTGATATCAGATTAGGTGTTGTTGAAAACTCCCCAAACAATAGAGTTTTTTTTATAAAAAGGCCCCTTTGGGGATTCGAGCAAGATAGTCCTTCCCTTAGCCCCATGTGGTAGCAAATAAGCTAATGGATTTCGTTCCTCATGATTCTAAAAGATGCCACCATGTTCGTAACCTCAGGCTTATCTGTGGAAATATAAACGTGAAATCACAGGGCGAAACTTATTAAGGCATTATGAGATATCAGCAAATATAAGAAGAGGTGAGATAAGAAAAGAAAAGATATGATACAATAAGATAATAAATGAAAAGATATGACAAGATAAGATATGATGAGGTAAAAGTATTACTACAAGAAAAAGTAAGTTATAAACAGAAGCCCAGAAAGCCTAAATGAAATTCTATTTGCAGATGACCCTTGTCTTATTCATCCAAACCAACAAAGCCTCCAATATCACACTACCGAAGTGAGCAACAGCTGCCAGAAATTTGATGTGAAAATAGGCACATCAAAAACAGATGTTATGAAAGTGACCCGAAACCATTGTCCCCTGTTATTCCGGGTGAAGGAGTTAAAAATCTTGGGAGCACGTTTTCTGAAAACGGGTCCATAGACAGAGAAACAGAAAAACTAGAAATGCGACCTCAAAAAACCAAACTTTGTTGCCTACCAGCTCGCACCCCTTCTATCTCATCCAAACATCTCCATGGACACAAAGAGACAACTTATCACTTCAATATTCATACCCACATTATGCTAGAGTGCCACACCTGGACATTAAGTAAAACCCATGAAAGCAAAATCACTGCATACGAGATTAAATGTCCCCGCAAAACCCTTGACATCACAAGACGAGACTGGCAGAGAAATAAAGAAGTAAGAGCAGCTATTGACGCTGAGTCCTGCCTGCATTTCATAGAAAAACAGGGAATTAAATGATTTGCCTGCTATTACGAATGTCACCTAATCTGCTAGCCTCTAGAGCCTATAACACCAAGCACTCAGGCTATAAAGGAAAAGGAAAGCCACGCAAAAGGCGGATTGAGGAAGTCAACGAAACCCTGAGAAATCATAATATCCCAACTGAAAGAGCTGCGGAGCTGGCCTACCATAGAAAACTGCATCTCCCCTCGACGCTTAACGGCAATAGAGGATGAAAAAGTAAATGTAAAAGAAAAGTATACAACCCCTCCAAAAAAACAAAAACAACAACAAAAACAAAACAAAAAGCAAAACAAAAGCGAAAACAAAACAAAGCCAATGGGATAAGAACAAGGAAGGTGAGACAAAAGATAAGATAAGATACGATATGACAGGAACGGATTAGAAAAGATGAGACAAGAGAAAATAGGATAAGATGTGTGTGTGTGTGTATGTATGTGTGTGTGTGTGTGTGTGTGTGTGTGTGTGTGTGTGTGTGTGTGTGTGT